TTCTTTGAAAATAATAGCCTTGTCTGGCCTCAATCTTCCTGTCTCAGCCTCTTGGAGTGCTGGGATTATAGGTATAGACCAGCACCCTGGTTAAAAACTTTTTTTTTTTTTTTGGTTTTTCTCTGGTACTGGGAACCGAACTCATGACCTTGCGCTTGCCAGGCAGGCGCTTTTGCCGCTGAGCTAAATCCCCAGCCCCTGGTTAAAAACTTTTAAAGCAAAAGGTGAGAATAAAGAAAAGTGAGTGCTTCTGCAAACACCTCCCAGGGTCTAGGGGAAGGGCTCTGCAGGGAACACTTCTCACGCGGCCCAGTAGCTCTGTGGGGGTCTCTTTATTGTGCACAATTCAGACCTGGTGGGACCTGGCCTCGGATGATGTTGGGGAGGGGGCGGGCTGGCCACCCCAGCTCTCCCGTGCCTCCTCTGGGGACCCAGCCTGCAGGCCCCGTCCCCGCCCGCTCCGAGCTGCTCAGCTGTGGACAGCGCTGCTGTCCCCTTGGCAAGCAGCGTCTTCTTCAGCAATGGCCTCGCTGAGGCCCTGCAGGTCGTCCAGCAGTGCAGAGAGGGACCCTGGAGAGCAGACACCGAGGACGGCACCGGAGGGCGGCCCTGCAGCGACCCTGCCTGCAAGGGGTGAGAGAGCGGGCTGGGAGGGTCCTGGAGGGCTCCCCAGGGCACGCATGTGCAGGAGCTTCCGAGGCTCCCAAGAGTAGCCCATCACCTCTTCCAGACTTCCTGGTGGGCAGAGCAGCTGCCGGGGGCCCTGGAGGTCTGGAGCTCGACTCCACAGGTTTCCCCTCGTCCACCAGGGAGGGGAGAACGGCCAACAGTCGCTGCTGCTTGTAATGGGAGAGGAGACCCTCCTGCTGCAAGGTGGCCTGGGAAGGAGAGGGTCAAACGCCACCGAGCCCTGCAGAGCCCCCCACCTTTCCACACTTCACTCATCAACCAGCACCTCAGGCCTCAGGCCTCAGGCCCAGGCCGCCGCTGTCCCTACCAGCATGAGGTTCTTGTCCCGCTCCAGCTCCTGCAAGCGCCGGCTCAGCCGCTGCCCCTCCTCCTTCCGGGCCTCATCCTGCAGGCGCCTGAGCTCCTGGTTCCGCTCCTTCTCCCGGGCCGCTGTGCGCTGCATCTGGCGCAGGGAGACCACTGTGGAGAGCCCGGCACACACGGTGGGGTCAGCCGGGAAGCTGCTCTGCTCCGAGATCTGTGTCTCCCCTGTACAGTGCAGGTGTGAGCGTATGTGACCCCAAAGCACCTTCCCCACCCTGATCTCCGGAGAGCTTCTTAGGGGGCTGAACAGGAGCCTCGGGTTAGACCTTAGTGCTCTCGTTCCTGAAGTGCGCTCATGGTATCGCGGTTACCTACAATTTCCTACTTGCAGAAGACAGAGTGCAAAGTCGGTCTGCAACCTGAGTGATTCAGGAAATGTGTACGTAAATGTGTGTGCAGATCCGAGCGAGGGCTGGCGCGGTGGAGGCGGACTGCCCTCCCTGGTCAGTAATGGTAACGAGTACTGATCACCTGGCCGCTGACCCGCTGCCTGGCTGGCTGGGGGCAGCTGCTGGGGTTTCGGGGAGGGCACGGAGCCCTGAGCCAGTCGTGTGCTGTGTCCTGCCCTGGTGCCGGCCACACAGCGTGCCCTCCAGGTGACAGCTCACTGCCTGTCCTGCACCCTCCAAGGGCCCTGGCCCGGCTCCTCTCACCCGCCTTGGCCTGCTCCCTCCGAGCCTCGTTCAGTCTCCGCTCCGCATCCGAGAGCTGCTCCCGCAGCCGAGTCTCCACCTCAGCCACCTTCTCCTGCAGCGCTGGGGTGCAGCAGAGTCAGGGACATCAGGAGGAGCCACCTCACTCACTGGGGGGACGCCCACCACCCTGCCGGCCCTGCACCTCTTGCATAGGCCTCCTGCTGCTGGGACAGCTCCTGCCGGAGACTGGCGGCCTCCTCCGTGCTCTCCTGCTGGCCCTGGCGAGCTGCCTCCAGCTGCAGCCCCACGCTGGCCAGGGACTCCTGGGTGCGCTGCAGCTCCTGCTCCAGCTGCTGGGCCAGCTTGCTCAGCTGCTGCCGCTCCTCCTCCCCTGGGCGGAAGAGGGGTGCTCCCTCAGGCCTCTCCCCAAAGCGCCCCTCCTCCACCGCCTCTGCCGGGCCTACCTTGTTCCCGCGCCCGGCCCACCTCCTGCTGGATGAGGCGGGCACTCAGCTGCAGCTCCGCACCCAGGCGGTTCCGCTCTTCCCGCAACTGCTGCAGCTCAAGGCTCTCGCTGGTGTTGGCGGGGGGTGTGGGCGCAGGGCAGCTGGACAGCAAGAGAATCAGGCATTGGAGTCACCCAGCTGCCTGACCCCCAACACCCAACACCCCAAAGCTCCGCCTCCCACACCACCCCTCCGCCTCCCAGTGCCCCAGCTTCACCTCTCCAGGCGCAGCTGAGCCAGGGCCAGTTTCCGAGCCATCAGGCCTGGGCGGGAAAAGGCAAAACAGCTGGGTTTGCAGGGGACGAGGCAGGAGACGGGAGCGGAGCAGAAAGACGCAGGGACCGGTGAAGCAGGCGAGGGTAGGGGACAAGAGGGCTGGGCCACAGCTGGAGGGGGTGGGCGGGACACTGTTCCCACGCTGTACCCACCCTGAACGGTGTGCACTTTTCGGGCAGCGTAGCTGAGTCGGTTGCTGAGGCCGGGAAGCCGGGCTACAGCCTGTTCCAGCTTCGTCATGGTGCTCTGGAAGCCCATCTGGCACCTGGAGAGGACGCAGGACACTGACCCTCTACCCTCGGCTCATGCTCAAAGGGCCTGGGGGGGCTCGGATGGACCCACGGGTGGTGGGGACAGGAAGTGAGGACAGGAAGCAGAAGCCACGGGGTGGGACAGGACTTCAGTTCCAACAGCTCTGCCGGGTGCAGGAGCTGGCATGCCAAGTGTGTCCAAGCTCCTTAGCAGATAATAAAGAAAAAGGAGAAAAAAGATGAGAACCTGAGAGCTCAACGCCTTCAGTCAGTATCAAGCAGACACGATGCGTTTAGCCAGGTGTGGCGGCTACGCCTGTAATCTCAGCACTCCGGAAGGCTGACGCAGGAGGAACTATTGCTCTGGTATCTCGGTGTCTCCCCAAAGCCTCCCATGCTCAGAGGCAGCCCTGGCTGTGTGCCACACCTGGCTGACAGGCAGCTTCCCAAGCAACCGCTAAGCTCACTTCTCACCACCTGATTCTGACACCATCGGGCATCACAGAGCGAGGGGCCTCTGGGAGGAGCACATCCCGACACCAGGCGGGCAGCGCCCCTGCTGCATCAGCCAGCGGGGCCACGGGCTCAGCAGAACAGTGAAGCAGACCCCTGGGGAGAGGCCAGGGTGTAGGCAGGGCTGGGCCAAAACCGCCTCAGGAGTTCACGACTCCGGGGCAGGGGCACAGAACAAGTGGGAACAGAGCTGACCACAGTGAAAAGCACCTTGGCTCCTCCGGCACGGTGACTGCTGGAGCCCTTGTCTGAGAGAAGTCTCCCGGCTGCCCAGAGCCACGAACAAGCCTGGCAATGACTGCTTTCCATCGCTTAAGCCTGGAGCAGTGCTCAGTAACAACTCATTAGCAAAACCACTCCCGTGAGCTCCTGGCCGGGCCAATCTGCCTTCTCCTAGCAGGGTGAACCTTAGAGCTTTCAAGGGTAGCACAGCCGGTGGTGGCACATGCGCCACAGGGTCCCCGTCCCCACACAGGGTCCCCACCAGGGAGGTGCAGGTAGGAGACACAGGCCACGCACTGTGTATGGGAAAGCGTCCCTCAGAACTCATCTAATTCTGAGTAAGTTGAAAATTTGTATCTTCCTTGCGGGGAGCTGCTTACTGGGGACTGGACCCAGGGCCTCAGGTATGCAAGGCAAGCATTCCACCACCAAATCATACTTTGTTGTTTTTTTTTTTTTTGTACTAGGAATCGAACTCAGGACCTTGCACTTGCCAGGCAAGTGATTATGCTGTTGAGCTATATCCCCGGCCCCTTGTTTTTTGTGTCAAGGTCTTGCTATGTTGCCCAGGCTGGCCTTGAACTCCTGGTGATCCTCCTGCCTCAGCCTCCAAAGTACTGAGATTATAGGCATGTGCCACCAATTTTCCTTGGCTAAATTTTTTGGTTTTTTGCTTTTTTGAGATAGTTCTTATGTAATTCAGTTTAGCTTTGAACTGACAGCGATCTTCCTGCCTCAGCATCCCAAGTGGTGGGATTACAGGTGTGTACCACCACATCCAACTAATGTTTTTTTTTCCAGTACCAGGAATCGAACTCACAACCTTGCGCTTGCCAGGCACGTGCTGTGCTGCTGAGCTAAATCCCCAGCCCCTCCAGGTAAGTTTTTAGAATATTTTCAAAACGAATGAGCGCCTAAGGCACAAATCCAAGAAAGCAGTATGGTAAGCAAGGATACAGCCTGCATCATAATTTTATAAAACCCAAAACTGTTATCTGCTTCACTGTTCAAAGCCAGCCTCTGTGCTAAAGGCGGCATGTGGACTGCCAGCTCAGGCACCGGTCTGCCGGGACAGAAGTGGCTACTGGTACAAAGCAGCTTTTGTTTTTCCTTGGCGGTCTTGCTGCTAAAGACTGCAGAAACTGTCAGGAATGAACGACCACGAAGTTGGTGTGAGACACAGGCTTGTGACTGACTCAGGACCACGGCGCACACTTAGCTGTCAATCCAGCAAGCAAGGGTCGCTTTAAACACACAGACTAACATTTTTTTCCCAAACAGCACACACCTATAAGATGGTAAAGAGAAAGAACAGCATGGTAACACATGCCTGTAATCCTAGCCACACTCAGGAGGCTGAGGCAGGAGGGTTTCTGTGTCTGAGACTTTGTCTCAAAACAAATAAACTAGAAAAAAAAAAATGTAAGAGAAAGACAGGAAAGGAGGGAGGAAGGAGACAGTGTGCCCACACCCCCAACCCTGAAGGCAGCTGAAGGTGGGAACCTGCTCCGCGGCCCGCTTAGCTCAGGGCAGCCCTGGACGGAGCTGCAGGGGAAGAGCAGAGCCTCGAGCCAGCGCGGTGCAAAGGGAGCGCCTGGGGAAACCACATGCAGAAGCCGTGGGAGGGCAGCAGACATCCAGCCAGGCCCCCGCGGCTGCCAGCTTCTGCACCCCTACTGCCTGAGGCTGTCTGACCCCAGGCACCCCAGAAACTGGACAAGGAACCAGGGAAACAATCCCCACTACCCTGGATACCTGCTGACGGTCCCAGCCACCAGCTTTAGCTGCTCCTCCACCACCGCTGTCTGCTGCTGCTGCCGCCGCTGGGCCTCCTGAGCCCGACCCAGCTCCGTCTGCAGGGCCTGGGGAGGTCCAGGTGAAGGCAAGGGTCCTCCTCTCGGAGTGAGGCCTGCAGACCCAGCCCGGGCTGCCCCCCATCACCAACCTTGACGCCCACGCGCTCCACCTCCACCTCCACGGCTCGGTCCTGCAGGGAGCGCTGCAGGATGGCCTGCTCCTGGCTCTGGACTGTCACTTGTTCCTGGAGCTCAGCCACCTGGTGCGGGACAGGGTGCTGGGCATGGCAGACCCTGAAGACCACCCCCACCAGCAGATGCATGGCCTGTCAGAGGCTTCTGGGGGCCTCTGAGACCTTTCTTTACGGCACTGAGCCCTGCTCACTATTACCTGTTCATTGTTCCCCGAGTCTCCTTTCTAGAAGGCAAGCTCCACGAGGGCTCACACAGGTACTTGTCCCCAAAGCGGCGTACAGGCCCTCGGCCTCAGCTTGGCCAGCCTTCTCAGCCCGGGCCAGGGCCTCATTCAGTAATTTTTTAATTTTTAATTTTTTAATTTTTGCTTTTGCATTGAGCTACAACGCCAGCTTTTTTTTTTTTTTTTTCCCCACTTTTTGAGACAGGGTCTTGCTAAATTGCTCAGGTTGGGCTGGAACTTGTGATCCTCCTGCCTCTGCCTCCCAGAGTGCTGGGATTACAGGCATGCACCACCATGCCTGGCTTCGTACTGAACGAATGCCACCCTTGTGCGAGGAGTCTGGGCAAGAACGCAGGAGGGGCAGGGCCACCGACCTGTCCTCTCAGCGCCTTCACCAGGTCTCCATGCTCCAGCTCCTGGGACTTGAGCTGCACCAGGAGGGCAAACACCTTCTCCCGCCAGCGGCTCAGCAGGGACTGGTGCTTCGCAACAAACTCGGGCTCCAGGGACCCTGGAGGTGAGGCCTGTGGGCAGGAGGAAGTGCGCGCTCTCACGGAGAGGAACAGACGCCACCCCTTGCTTCTCTCTGTCCTGCTTGAGTGGCAGAAGCCACAGCAAGAGCTGGCAGTTCCAGGAGGGAAGCCTGGGCAGGTCTTGGCACACACCCGGGTCCTCCGCGCATGCGCTACCCAGGGTTCCTACCTTCCTGGTCAGCTCCTCCTCCTGCAGGGCGAGCACGTGCACCAGGCTCTGCACGCGCACCTGCAGCAGCTCGGCAGTGGCGCGAAGGCTGGCTCGGTCTTCCTGCAGGTGCTGTGGGAAGCGGGTGCGAGTCTCAGGCTCAGTGCCCGCACAGGCCTGCAACAGCACCGCCTTCCCCTCTGCCTGCCCAGACGCCCCATGGCCCGCTGCGGCGCACCCCGCCTCTCCCCCACCTGCACAGCGTCCAGAAGCTCCTGCCGCTCGGGTTCCCAGGCCTGGCCGCGGCCCTCAGGCGGGACTTGTTCCCCCACGTACTTCCGAAGACTCTCAACCAGGGCCCCCTGAGCCTCCAAGTCTTCCTGGGTCTTACTAGGGTAGAGGCAGAAACAGAGCAGCCATTAGCGGTGCACCCTGGAGACCCCCCTGCCAACCCCCGGAGCCCCTCCCTGCACCCCATTTACCTCAGCTGCTGCCGCAACAGCTCTGCCTCATTCTGAGCTGTGGCCAGCTCCTTGGCTTCCCCTGCCCTCCTGGCTTCCAGGCCACTCAGAGACTTCTCCAAGCCCTTGGCCTTGCTGGTCAAACTGGCCAGAGCCTCCTGGTGGGCCTGTGCCAGGGAGGACAGCTGTGGGGAGAGGGGAGAGCTCAGCAGGGCCCAGCTTGCTGGACATCCGGGCCTTCCTAACCTCCCCTGCTTTGACCTTGACCTTCTACTCCCACTTCTGTGGCCTTGGAGAACGACCCACACCTAGTCCGCCAGCTCCTTCCCTGCGTGCAGACTCAGGCAATCTGGTCACTGAGGCCCCCGCTGCTGTCCCAGGGCTGGCAAAGAGCGGCACTGAGCTTCCCGCCTGAGCAACCCCCTCCCCAGCCCTCTGGGGCCCAGGCCCACCTTCCTCACGCCCCTACGAGGCTCCTTCACCAAAACCTCAAGGCTCCACAGGGCTCCTGGGGGCCTCTGGGACACCGCTCTCTGCTGGAGCTGCTGCCCGGACCGTCAGGAATCTGAACCCCTCCCGCCCGAGTTCACCTGCTCTTGGTGCAGCCTCTGCACCTCCTCCAGCTCCCGCTGGCTGCCCTCTTCCAGCTTTTTCCGGACGGCCTCGGCCCCGGCCAAAGCGGTGCGCAGGCCCTCGGCCTCAGCTTGGCCGGCCCTCTCAGCCCGGGCCAGGGCCTCCAGCTCTGTGGCCTGGGCCTCCAGCCTCATCTTCTGCTGCAGCGAGGTCTCCCGCAGGCCACGCACCTCCTCCTCCAGCCGCCGCAGCTCCTGCAGCTGCCTGGAGATGAGCTCCGCCTGCTGGCTCAGGGCCTGCGACCCCGCCAGCTCCAGGGACCTTCAAAGACAGATGGCAGGAGGGAGCCGTGTCTGGTGCTGAGAGGAGCAGCAGCCCTCTGCTCACACTCAGGGAGGGGCGGGTGAAGGGAGGAAGCAGATCTCTGCATTCAAGGTGCTACTGTCGGGGCTTGCAGGACCTAACAGCTTGGGAATCGTGTGCGGATCTCTGGAGAGAGCGACACACAGGCAGGGTATGAACAGCCAGTGTGCGCATGGTGGGCGCACCGCCCTGTGTGCAGAGGTTGGAAGATCATGCAGAGACTTCTCAGTCCAGACTGCTGGGGAGGTGCGGGAAGCTCGGGGTGCGGAGGGCCTGAGTTTCCAGGGCTGCTACGGGGAGGCTGGGTGCTAGGAACTGCCGTTACTGACGGCACAGTCCTGAGCCCTGGAGACCACTCCGCAGGTGTAACACCGCTCCTGAGAAGGCTCTGTCACGGAGAAGGAGAACCACATGGGTTATTTCTGGCTTTTAAGTAAAGGGCATCCGTAGGCCAAGAACAGTAAGTGACTTGTCAAAGACCCCAAACTTGAAACAGAACCTCTGCCTCCTGACACCAGTCTAGTCCTCCCCACTTGATCCCATTCCTTCCTGCTCGGGGTAATCCCACTTCAGTGACACTCCAGTACACTTGGGAGGAGACACAGGTGAAGCAGCAAGAATGAGAATTTCCCTCACATTCACGGACAGCAGGGTATGCGTTCTCCGTAACGGCTTCCTCAGCCCCTCAGTTAGGATGAACCATGCACAATGCCAGGCCTCTCTGCCCTTCATCTGGCTCTGGTTTTGTTTTTTTTTCTGGGTACCGGGAATCGAACTGAGGACCATACACTTGCCAGGCAGGCGCTTGTGCCACTAAGCTATATCCCCAGCTCTTCATCTGGCTCTGGACTGTGCTTTAGGAGTAGCTGCTGATTAACTTCTCTCTTCTCTTTGAAATCTGAATTGTTTATTGATTGATTTTTGGGTGTTTTTTTTGGCGGGGGGACAGGGTCTCGCTATGTAAGTCAAGCTGGCCTTGAACTCATTATGTAGCCCAAAGCTGGGCTCAAATTCATGGTGATTCTCCTGCCTCAGCCTGCCGAGTACGAGGATTACAGGTGTGCACCACCACGCCCAGATAAATGCTTTCTTTTTTGGGGGGTAACGTTTTATTAATGAAGAACTTAAGTCAGATGTCTCCTACTCATTTTTGTTATTCCCATCTCGTGTGTCTAACACATGATCTTATTATTTATGCACTGTTGTAACTGCCTACATACAAATGCACAGGCAATGGACCCAAGGGCCAGAAGAAGGCAAGGAACCCATCTCGGTGAAGAAAGTCACTAGCAAGCAACTCTCAGGAAACGTGGCATGGCTGGGAAGATAGCTCAGTGGCACAAGCACCTGCTTGGCAAGCGCAAGGTCCTGAGTTTGATTCCCAGCACCAAAAAAAAAAAAGAAAGAAAGAAAGAAAGAAAAGAAAAAAAGGAAATGGTGGCAGTGGGTTCCTACCTGCCTCTCCGGCCTGGCCCATGCCAATCCCCGCAAACATCCCGTTCCCATGCGGTCACCCGAGGCCTCTGGTGCCTCTGTGAGACATCCTGATGGTCCAGGGGCGGGAGGAGGGTAACATCTGAGATCCAGGTTGGAGCCACTCTTGGCTGAGTGGGAAGGGGCCGAGCTTGGAAGTGGGAGGGGGGGACCAGCCCAGCGAAACCTGGAGAATCACAAGAGCAGGAAGTTAGTTCTGCAGGGAGAGGCCTCCCGGTCTCCTCGCGGTCCCCTGGCGCCCCGCTGACCTGAAGGTGGCAGCATGTCCGCGCCTCTGAAAGCTCTAGATTCTGTCTCCGGCCATCTAAGGTCCCCTGAGCAAGTGGACATACAGGGACACTCCGATTCAATTTCCAGGACACCTTCCATAGAGAACGCCTCCGCAACAGTCAGAATCCTTCATGACAGCCAGCTCCCCCGACTCTGAGCAGGTCCCTGCCTGAAAGCGGCAGGCGATGCCCAGGACCACCCGCTGGCTTGCTCTGGCCTGCCTGACACCCAAGCGTACCACGGATAAAGTTTACTGAGACGGCAGCTCGGGGGAGGTCCAGGCTCTACCCTACTTTCGGGATTCGGAGCAGCGCCTTCGCCCCGCTCGCGGCTCGCGGATGCCGGCTCTGCGGGGCGAAGGGGACGGCGGAGGTCCCCGCGCAGGGGCCCCGCGCCCCACCTCCAGGGCTCTCTCCACGGCTCTGCACTGCCCAGCCGAAGCCCGGCCACGGCGCGGGGCCCCTCCCGATCAGCGCTGGACGCCTCCCCTCCACCCAGGGACCCCGGCAGCGGAGCCCGGGGCCGGAAACGCCAGCCCCCGACATCTCCCTAGCCCCTCGGCCCCTCTCCAGCGGCCCCGCGCGCAGCGCAGGGACCCCACCCTGGGACTCGGCCCGCCTCTCCTACACCCCAATCGGCTCCTCTCCGGAAGGAAGCACGCTGGCCCTCACTCGCAGCCCACCCCAGCTAGGAGCGCGCCCCGCTCCCCCTCCTCCCCGACGCCCCGAGTCTTCGCCTTTCCCAACCTCCAGCTCTAAGGCTACTCTGACCACCTCATCGCTTCCGCCCCGGCCGCTCCTTCCCCACAGCCCCTCCCCGCCCACAACCGACGCTTCTCACCCAGCTCTAGCGCCCCCTCGGCCCTGTGGCCACACCCCCTGCACCCCGCTCCCGGCCCCGCCCCCCAACCGCGCCTGCGCCTGCGCGAGGCGGCCGGGTTGGCGGGCCCCTGGAGAAGTTCTATTTTGCCCTGAAAGGATGGGAGGGGGAGTGTACGCAGGCGCAGTGGCGGCCAAGGCGGGCCCAATTAACGCGTCCAGCGTCTCCGCGCTCTGACGACTCCTCCCCACTGCTGGAACCCGGGAAAACCTGTGAGCCAATCACAAAAGGCGAAAGGCGGGCGCTGGGAGAGGAACCCACTCAGATCGTCGCCCAATAGAGTGGAGGAGGGTGAACGAGGAGGCCAATCGGAAACGGCACGGGGCGGGCTCATTGGACCCGGGAATTCCGAAGGAGGGGTCGTTGCTGCCCGCGCGCGGTGGCCGCGCCCCTCCCTGCCGCGGCTTCCTGGCTGTCAAACTCCGGAGTGCGCCCGCGCCGGCCGACCCCGAAGGGCCGCCCTGGACCGAAGACCATAGACCGCACGGCAGAGGTAGATCTGAAACTGGGCTGAGGCCAGGGGAAAAGGCCGGGTTTGCCTTGCAGGGTCCCGAGGAGCTCCTGCTGTTTCTATTCCCTAGAGAAGCGGAAAGCAGGGCGTTAAGCTGGCTTTATTGGCCTTTTAGGGCCCGTTCGCACTGCGCCCTGGGGATGACAGTGGGTCCCCGCCTCAGGTCTCCAGACGTGCGGGAGGAGAAGCGGGTTTGACGGCGGGCCGTCCCCGCCTCCCGCGCACACTGCCCCGAGCGGCCTAACGTGTCCTTGTTTTGCACAGATTGGATGCTTGGGGCCGAGGACCCAGCTCGGCCGAGGCGCCGCAGGACGCGCCCCTGTTGCTGCACTGCACCTAGACCTTCTCAGATTTTTAAGATCGCCAGTCTGCTGAAAAGCCAGTTTTGCATCGAATTTGCCCTGCTTGGCTGTGTGCTCGAAGCCGAAATTACACCCGGCGCACCCCGCCTTCAGCGGACTGACTTGGGCGAGCGAAGCCTGCCCAGGCTCGGCCCGGGATGAACCCCTAAGTGGAAGAGGTGCTGCGGGGGAGGCGCTGCCCATGCTGCCCTGCTTCCAGCTGCTGCGAATAGGGGGCGGCAGGGGCGGGGATCTCTACACCTTCCACCCGCCCACCGGGGCTGGCTGCACCTACCGCTTGGGCCGCAGGGCGGACCTGTGCGATGTGGCCCTGCGGCCCCAGCAGGAGCCTGGCCTCATCTCTGGGGTCCACGCCGAGCTGCATGCTGAGCGCCGGGGTGATGACTGGAGGGTCAGCCTGGAGGACCACAGCAGCCAAGGTGAGCACCAAGCAGGGCCTCCTGACCCGGGGTTGTCCCGGATAAGAATCAGGGCGTCCCCCAGAACCCGGCCACCTGCCTCCCAGTCTGCCAGGTCGGGCAGCGGTGGTCCAGCCCTGTCTGGCCTTCAGAAACGTGCACTGTCAGCTGTCGGAGGGCTGACCCTTGTTCCGGCTACTTAGCTCACAAAGGGCCGGGGAGGTCGATCCGGGGCCCAGGACATCCACAGGCAGGTGTCACAGTAGCAGTGATCTGGAGCCGGGCTTGGACTTGACTCAGTTTCCAGCCTTGCAGAGGCACCCCTTCCTGCCTTTGGGCGGTTACTGAGTGTATTTTAAGGATCTGGGCACGTCCTTCTCCCCACTTTAAGACTTCGCAGAGGCCTGCATTTATGGTTTTCTGCCACTAGAACCTGGCAAAACCTCAGGTCTTAATCTGCTCTTAGGTAAACACAGGCTTGGCAAGCTGTTCTGGGGGTGCTGCGAGCATTCGGAGCGTGGTGTGCCCGACGTTCACTTAGTGCTTCCGGCTCTGAGCTGGGCACCCAGTGCACGGGTGTCGGCGGCTCCCACACCCGCGATCGGCGGGCAAGGAGAGTGGGTTAGGCAGTGGAGCTGGGGAGTGGCAGAGCCAGACCCTGGGCCGTGCCCAGCCGACTTGTCCAGGTGGAGGCAGCCAAAGCAAGCATGAGAGCCGGGAGCCGGGAGCCGGGAGCCGGGTGCAGGGAAAGGGGCCACTCGGGAGAGCACAGAGGGATACATTTGCCTCCGGCCAACAAGGAGCTTGTTTGTGGCCCAGGGGTTCAGAGTGCTGGGAGAACTGGGTTGTCCTTCCCGTTGCCCTGGAAACCAAACAGTCAGATTGCTGCTGACTGGCCGCTTCTGTTCTTGTCATCTGTGTCGTGCCCCGCCGTCCACAGGGACTTTGGTCAATAATGTCCGGCTCCCGAGGGGCCACAGGCTGGAGCTGAGTGACGGTGACCTCCTGACCTTTGGCCCGGAAGAGCCCCCAGGTTCCAGCCCCTCGGAGTTCTACTTCATGTTCCAACAAGTCCGGGTCAAACCTCAGGACTTTGCTGCCATCACCACCCCGCGGTCAGGAGAAGCTGGGGCTGGGGCTGGTTTCCGGCCCATGCTGCCCTCCCAGGGGGCCCCACAGCGGCCCCTCAGCACGCTGTCCCCTGCCCCTAAGGCCACGCTGATCCTCAACTCCATCGGCAGCCTCAGCAAGCTCCGGCCCCAGCCCCTCACCTTCTCCCGGGGTGGGGGTGGGCCCCAGCGCCTGCCCGTTCCCACCCCACCCCGGGAAGGGGCCCCCACGCCCGGCCCACCCCCAAGAAACCGGAGGAAATCAGCTCACCGAGTGCTGGCAGAGCTGGATGACGAAAGCGAGGCTCCCCAGAGCCCCCCAGTGCTTCCAGAGCCCAGGAAGAAGCTCCGTGTGGAGAAGGCCCCACTGACACCCGGAGGGTAAGCAGAGCCGGCGCAGTCCCTCAGCCTCCTGTCAGCGTTTCACCACCTTTTGGTCCCTTTGCAGAGCCTCAGGCTGAGGTCCCTCTGCTTGAGAGGTACAGGTGGGGGGGGGACAGAAGCAGGCCATTGGAATGGCCAGACAGGAGTTAGCACTGATGTTTAAATATATATAGGGGCCGGCGTGGTGGCACACACCAGTAATCCCAGCACTCAGGAGGCTGAGACAGGCTGAGTTCGAGACTAGCCTAGGCTACAAAGTGAGCTCAAGGCCAGCCTGAACTGCATAGTGAGACCGTCTCATGGTGGCACACGCCTGTAATCCCAGCACTCAGGAGGCTGAGACAGGCTGAGTTCGAGACTAGCCTAGGCTACAAAGTGAGCTCAAGGCCAGCCTGAACTGCATAGTGAGACCGTCTCAAAAAGACAAAAAAGAAAAAATATCTATCTATCTAGATGTCTGTCTGTCTGTCTACTTATTTATCAGAGGCCAGTTAGTTGACATAGGCTTCTTTTTTTTTTTTTGCGGTACCGGGGATCGAACTCACAACCTTGCACTTGCCAGGTAGGCGCTTATCCCACTGAGCTATATCCCCAGCCTCTTGACATAGGGATAGTGGTTAAAAATGGAGTGTTAAAAAAAAAAAATCCTCGCCAGGTGTGGTGGTTTATAGTTCCAGCTATTTGGAAGGCTGAGGCAGGAAGATCCTAAGTTTGAGGCCAGCCTGTGTAAGTTAGTGAGACCCCTGTCTTTTTTTTTTTTTTTGAGACAGGGTCTCACTATGCAGTTCAGACTGGCCTCAAGCTCACTTAGTAGCCCACAGTGGTCACGATCTTGCCACGATTCCCCTGCCTCAGCCTCCTGAGTGCTAGGATTACACGCATGGGCCACCATGCCCGGCCCATGACCTCTGTCTTAAAAAAAAAAAAAAAAGAAAAAGTCTTTTGGGCTGGGTCTGGGGATGTAGCTCAGTGGTGGAGCACTTGCCTAGCATAAGGTCCTGGATTAGGTTCCCCAGCACAGCAAAAACCAAATACTTGCCCTGTGCAGGCTGGCAGACAAGGGGTTCCTACCCTTTTTTGGTAGAGCTGAGTGACGGTGAGATGGAACCCATAGCTTCACTCCTACTAGGCTAGTGCTGTACTTTGAATTACACCCCCAGCTCTAAGTTCCTACGCTTTAGGACTTTGAACTCATCCGTCTAGTGCTTAGGGATGAAGATTAGACAGGCAGGGGTGTTGTGCACCTGTAATCCCAGCACAGAAGGCCGACGGTGGAATTCAAGGTCAGCATGGCTCCATTAATAATCCTATCTCAAAAAAAAAAAAAAAGGAATTAATTTCCCAGGCTCAGAGGAATCTGTTCAAGGATCGCCTGGTGGTCATCCAGGGCCAAAATCTATGCTTCTGCAGGTTTTCAGGGATGCTGGTGTTTGTCACTTCCTTCAGAAATCGGCTGGGCTGTCCCCTGAAGCACCCAGTGGCACCCCAGGGGCTCCCCCTGCAGTTGGGAGCAGGAAGCTCTGTGCAGCCTGTCCCAAGAAGAGACAATAGCCTGGGTTCAGGGTGATGATTGTGACATCTGGTACCATGTGGCTTGTGCTGGCTGTGGCATCCAGGCTGCCAGGGAGGCCGACTTTTGATGCCCAAGGTGCCATGTTGGCATCCTGATCTGAGGCCCACCACCAAGGCACCAGAGGATGAAACCAGAACCTCCAGTCCACACTGGACACAGGGGTTGCAGCGGGACCCTAAGAATGCTTTCCTTCTTCCCTTCCCTCTGCAGGAGGGAATGATGCCAAGATGTTGCTATGGATACTGATTCAGAGCCTGGAGCAGGCCCTGGTGGCCGAGGGGACAGAAGCGAACTTCCTGCCAAAGAAAGAGCTGCCTCCAGAAGTTGCCAGGAGCTAGAATGTCACTGTTATGGGGTGCAAGGCCTCGTCGCCATGGACACCAGAGTATCTTGCAGCACTCAGCAATTGCAGAAGCCGTGCCTGGGGAGGAGTGCGAGCTCTTAATGCTGTCGAATGGTGCCACCTAAGGTGCTCTGGGAAACCCCGGCTCCCAGTGTCTCCCAAGGTCCTTATGCTGGCTAATCCTGCCCCCGACCAGGACCTCTGTGCCCTGGAGCTGGTTCCTGGCCTATGCTTCCCAGAGCTTTGCTTTTACTTCCAAATAAAGAACAAGCAGCTTTACCCACTCCGGGGTACTTGGGGCTGGGGATTTAGCTCAGCGGCACAGCGCCGGCCTGGCAAGCGTGACGTCATGAGTTCGATTCCTGGTACCAGAAAAAAAGACAAAAAAAAACATTCCCAGGTACTTGCTCTTCTCATGAGCTTTGCTTCCCAATTCTTGAGCAAGTAGAGGGGATGAGCAGAGAACTATGGGAACCTGCTCCCTGGAAAGGTGAGTAAAGGGAATGAGAAGAAAATGTGAAATGTGCCCGTGGGCCCAGGGCTCAGAAGCCTCTGGCAGGAGGATCGGGAGTGAAGGCCACCCTGCGGTGTACAGCGAGATCATGGCCAGCCTGAGCAACATGGGGACACCCTGTCTTTAAAAACCCAACATAAAATAAGGTATTTGGGACTTGATCAAGTTCATGGGGCGACAGCTTTTCCAGGGTTCACCATTACTAGTGGGGAAGAGAAAGCTAGCAAACCAGCTCTAGCAAGTACTAAGCTGGCTCAGTGTGGCTTAACCTTCTGACCCACGCACACATCATGCCTGGGATTTCCTGTGTGGAACTGTGTCACCAAGTATCCCATCTTTCCTGTAGTCCTTTTTAAGAAAGCCTTACACGTCAGCCTAGGGCATTAGGACCTATCGGGCAGGCCTATCCCCCTCCCCTAAACTTCCCAAGCCCTGCTTTTCCCACACTAAGGAGACTACTCCAAAGTAAAGGCGCCTAATTAGCTATTGGCAGAGCCAGAACTGAGGTGAGGTTATTGGCTGAGCCTCTTAAGGACAGGGTACGCGAAAATCTCAAAACCTAGGTAGAAAGCAAGTGGACCCTGGTGTGGAGAAAAGACCAGGAGCTTGGCATGGTCACAGTAACTGGGCCCGGTGGTGCACACCTGCAACCCCAGCTGTGCAGGAGAGACCCAAGTTCAAGGACAGTTTGGGCAACTTAATAAGACCCTGCCTCCAAAATAAGTAAAAAGGGCTGGGGAGATAGCTCAGTGCAAAGGCCCTGGATTTAATCCTGAGCACCACAATGAATGAAAAATAGGTAGTAGATAGACAGGTAATAGATAAACAGCGGGTGGTTAAGCTTAGCGCAGAGCCCTGGGTTCCATCCCCACTACCCAACCAAAGAATGGTGAAGTAGAGCTTTGGGCTATGCGGTGTGTAGGAGAATCAGTCATCCGAGGACCTCGGTCCTTCACCAGAGCCCCCAAGGACTTGAGAGCACCCTGGCCACTCAGGAAGCCCCCTCTGACCAGGTAACGGGCCACCGGTGCCGGCATCTTTGGGCGGAGGTGTGGCATTCAGCTAAAACCCTCCAGGACCCCAGGAGGCAGCTGCTGCCTATCGGGACCCTCTACAGAGGAGCTTGGGCTCCAGTCCCAGCTCCCCTTGGGCAGTGTCTGACCTCTAGCAGTTCAGATGGCACCTCAGTGTTGGGGTCCCCGGGGTGGGAGAGCAGTTCATGCCTATCACTGGGTTCCTCCACCCCTACTACCTTTTCAGTAACTAAAGGAACACCAGAGACAAAGTACCTACTGTGCCCCAGGCTTCTTTATTTAAGTCAGTGATGAGGGGATTAAAATCAAGAGCATCATCGCACCTTGGCTTCCCTCCCACCGGTTCCCCTGAACTCCCCGCCCCCACCCTCTGTGCTTCTAATCGCTTCCTTAGTGAGTGAAGAACTTAACCCCAAAGCCCCGCTAGACTCTAGCTCTTTCCCTGGCTCCTCCCTGTACTCCGCCCGCCATCCCTGGGAGAGATGGTGCCGCCTCAGCCTCAGTTTGAGTGCATGGGAGAGCCCAGGGCGGCGACAGACACCGGGGGAAAGGCTTCCCCCTCTGGGAAAGGGACGGAGGAGTACAGCGTGGTGAAGTGGGGACTTCCGTAGCCCGGGGTGCCAAAGTGGGGCCCTGGGGCCAGAGGAAAGGAAACAGGGCCCCCTGGAAAGGGAGACCCCGCAGCCTCATACTCCTCTCGCTGAGAATAGTCGCTGCTCGATCGCTTGCCCTTCTGGCGCCGGTTACAGAACCACACTCGCACCACCTGGAGAGGACACAGGACAGTGGTCTTGTCACCTGCAGGAAGTGGGTCTGGTTCGGCTCCGTCACTTCACTCAAAGTGCACAGCCCTGGAGCGGTGCGGGGGCGGGAGCAGAAGCCCGCACCTGACCCCTGGGGGCCGGGGCCGGGGGCGGGGCTGGGCACTCACGTCCTTCTCCAGCCCCAGCTGCTGCGCGATGCGGCTGATCTGCTGCAGCGTGGGTTTCGGGCACTGCAGGAACATGTTCTCCAGGTTGCCCCTCACTTGGTTCTCGATGCTCGTCCGCTTTCTCTTCCGGGCCTGCAGCAGGCTCTCGGTTTTGCATCTCTGGGAAGGCGGGCGGGAGGGAGATGGGCGCGCTACGGAGCTGCGCGCGGAGGGGTGGGTGACTTGGGACCGGAGTGCTAGCTAGGACACCGCGGTTAGCTGTGTCCCTGGAGCCGGAGGAGGTGAGTGCCAGTTCCGGACCTTCTCCCAGGCCAGTGGGAACTGCTGGCCTCGGCTGGAGGTCGAATGCAATCAGACGGTGTGCGCAGCCCTGGGCTCAGTCCCCAGAGCGCCACAGAAACAAACAGAAGAGGCTGGCGTGGCGCTACATGCCTGTAATCTCAGCACTCAGGAGGCTGAGGCAGGAGGATCGCTGCGAGTTTGAGGCCAGCCTGGACTACATAGTAACTAGAAGTCTCAACCTTGCCTCAAAAACCAAAGAATGGAGAAGGACAGAGGAGGGGAAAGGATGAGAAAGCGCCGCCGCCGGGGGTCGAGGGAACCCCGCGGACCAGCGATGCAGGTGTGGGATGGGCTCCCTCCCTTACCTCCTGCAGGGTCTCGTTGTTGTTGTCGGCCTCCTCCACCCACCTCTGCAGCAGGGGCCGCAGCTTGCACATGTTCTTGAAGCTGAGCTGCAGCGCCTCGAAGCGGCAGATGGTAGTCTGGCTGAACACCTTCCCTGCGAGAGGCGGGGGAAGGGCGTGAGGCAGCAGCTGGGCCTGGCCTGGGCACCCCGTGGCACCCCCCTGGCACTCCGCAGAGCAGCTCAAGGCTCTGGGGTCTCCTCCTGCCCCAGGCCCCTTCCCTCCCGGCCAGCCTGCGGGCACGGATGTCCCTCTTGCTGGGGGAGGGGGGCCCCTGTGATGAGCACACGCTGAGAGGGACCCACCAAAGATAGCGCCCAGGGTGAGCCCCACATCGGCCTGAGTGTACCCCAGGGTGATCCTCTTCTGCTTCAGCAGCTTGGCAAACTGCTCCAGTTCTTTCTGCAGGGCGTTGATGTCCTGGGACTGCATTTAAGAAAAAAAAAAAAGCAGAGGACTTGTAAGAATGCAGACTGCCCTGTTTGGACCCTCTCTCTAGTTGGGCCCAGGAATCCACGGTGGCCCGAAGGAACATTCTGGGGGAGTTATCTCAGCAGCCCGCCCGGGAGCCTTGAGAAATAGCCAGTTTACCAGCGCCATTTGCCCACCCACTGCCCCCCAAGTGACGCAGGCCAGCTCTTCAAAACACGGGCACATCCAGTACACCAGGAGCACCCCTTGAAGGGGGGGAAGGCAGGCTCTGGCCCCCAGGAGGACACCTCGGGGTGAGGGTGACAACAAAAAATCAATAGCAATCAGTGTTGTAAGAGGTATACACGTACTTGGTGCTCAATCTTTTTTTTTATTTATTTAATACTTTTTTTAAAAGTCAGATTATCCTGTATTTTTTACTGTATCTTTCTGCACCCTCACTGGTTAATTCAGCAGATCTCCTGGCCACCTTCTATAAACCATCTCCGCTATCTCTGCTAGTTTGATGCTCAAGGTGGGCTCCTTCATCCAGTGTTACCTGCCTAAGGAGTTTAGCTGACTCTAGTTCAGTTACTCTCTCTCCAGCTTGGTTCCAGGGAGCAAACAAACGTGGCACACACACAAAATTACAAGAACACATACCAGGCATAGCCAGGCGTGGTGGGGCACGCCTGTAATCCCAGCACTTGGGAGGCTGAGGTAGGAGGATCGTTTCGAGTTTGAGACCAGCCTGGACTACAAAGTGAGCTCAAGGCCAGTCTGAACTGCATAGCGAGACCCTGTCTCAGAAAGACAAAAACAAAACAAAAAAACATACCAGGCAAAAAAAATCCAACAAAACAAAACATACCAGGCATGGTGAGGCACATCTGTAATCCCAGCACTTGGGTGACTGAGGCAGCAGGATCACTGCAAGTTTGAGGCCAACCTGGGCTGCAGAGTGCATTCAAGGCTAGCCTGAATTCCATAGTGGCACCATGTCTCAACAAGACAAAACATAACAAGAAAACCCACAGCGATCATGCTAGGTGTGATGGTGCATGGCCGTAAGCAAATGCACTTGGGAGGCTGAGGCAGGAGAATTGCTGTCATTTCAAGGCCAGCCTGAACTACACAGCAAGACCTGGTCTCAAAAACCAAAAAAAAACCGGGCGTGGCGGCACATGCCTGTAATCCCAGCACTCAGGAGGCGGAGGCAGGAGGATCGTTGTGAGCTTGAGACCAGCCTGGGCTACAAAGTGGGCTACAAAGTCAGCCTGAACTGCATAGGGAGACCCTGTCTCAAAAAAATCCAACAAAGAGCAACAACAAAAAATAGCAATCAGTGTTGTAAGAGGTATACACGTACTTGGTGCTCAATCTTTTTATTTATTAAATCTTTTTTTTTTTAAGTCAGATTATCCTGTATTTTTTACTGTACCTTTCTGCACCCTCACTGGTCAATTCAACAGATCTCCCGGGCACCTTCTATAAACCAGCAGTTACACAAAGTGGACAAAAGCCCTGACCTCAAGGAGCTGACATTCTAATGTAGCTAAACACATCACCATCCCCTGCTGATCAAAGCATCATAGAAAAAAGCCATGTAGGGCACAGAAACAGAGGACAGCGGGGGCAGAATGGCGAGCTTAAACATGAATCCAGCCGGATGTGGTGATTCCAGCCTGTAATCCCAGCACTTGGGAGGCTGAGGCAGGAGGATTGCTGTAAATTCAAGGCCAGCCTGAACTACACAGCGAGACCTTGTCTCAAAACAACAACAACAAACCAGAAATCCAAAGGTGATTTTCGGTATCACGGGGGAGGAGCTGGGTGGGGCCCATGGCCCTGCGGTGGCTTTGGCTCAGAGTGGAATGATTTGGAAACGCCCACTCTCAGTTGTCAACTGAGGCGCAGGTAGCTAGGGGGCAGATGGACGGGGCAGGTATTTCCAAGATGAAGATAGCACTGCCTCGTATGGAAGGGAACCTGAAACGTGAGGTGAACCAAAAACGGCTGGTGCTGGCCATGGCGCTGGGATGGGGTGGCCGTCCCTACACCAGGCAGAAGCGGCGGCGGTCACCTGATTCCGAACGGCATGTGACCCGGGGGCGGGCGCGAGAGAGGAAGCGGAGATAGAGCGGAGGCTGAGGGACTGAGCCCCGGGGCACTCCAGGGTGGCCCGAGGAGGGCGGCCCACAGCACACACCTGGAAGACTGCGGAAGGCTCACCCCGAGGGCTCGGCGGCGACCGCTTTTCCTTCCAACTTCTGCTCGGCCTGTGACACTACAAACGTCCTCCACTGCCCTCTCCGCCTTCCCAGTCCCATCTGAGCCCCACTCCCACTCCTTGCCTCACTGAGCAGTGAAGACCCGTGAAATGAGCGGATGACGCCCCCCTAGGAGACGGTGTGCGGGCTGAGATGACGTACAACTCCACAGCCGGGCACCTGGGAAGTGGGCCCCGACTGGAGCCACTAGGACCAGCATCACCCCGAGTCTCTATTCACCCTCGCCTCGAGGACGGGGGCTTCGTACTGGGTCACCGCTTACACGCGCCGCATCGGGGGACAGAAGCTACAGCCAGCCACCCCCGGCCGGCGTAGAGGCCTTCAGCCCGGCAGCAAACAGTGGCCCAGAGACAGTGTCTCCCACTATTTCTTTTCCTAGTTTAGATCGTTAAGAAACCGAGGCCGACATCGGCCAAACTGGCACCTCCAGCTCCCCCAAGGAGCCAGGGGGCCCAAGGGTGTGCGTTTAGCACGATGGTGCCCAAGGCGGAGGCGGACACCAAGCAGGCCTTAAACTTGACGCAGGTAAAGCCAGCTCCTCGGCCCACACCGAACGAACGCGGGCAGGGCGGCCTATCAGAGGCCGGTCACACCCTAGCCTCCCGGAACAATAACCTGGGGTAAGCGCTGTTTTGGTCCTGAGGCCCTGCTTAACCCTAGGGCCAAGATCCTGGGTTTGATAAGGATCAGATTTTTCTACAGGGTCAAGGGTGGGCGAAAGGGCCCGTGTCGCCCAGGCTGGAGCTGGTGCGGGGCTGGTGGCACCCAGCGCTCTGAGCCCGGTCGGCTGGCGAAGCCCCCGAGAGCCCCAGACCAGGGCTGAGGCCGGAGGTCAGCTTGAGCAGGCTTCCAGCTCACTCAGAGCCCCAGCCCTCTGGTTCTCTGGGCCCATCTCCCGCACGACCCGCGTCACCACCCCACCTCCGGGGTGGCAGCCCCGCAGTGCCCCCGGGTTGCAGGCCTGGGCGGCAGCTGCAGGTGACCACTTCCTGTGGGCCCAGCCACCTCCCGGCTCCAGGCCCGGCACAGGGCTCTCACCTCCTCGGAGTTGGGCTCCAGCTTCTCCTCCGCCTTCACACCAGGCTGGGCGGCGCAGGGCTCGGGAGAGGCCCCCTCCGAGCCGCTCTCCACGGCGGTCCCCACCTCGCCATCGGGCTGGGGGCTCTCCAGGCCACCCTGCGGCGCCAGGCCCATTCCAACCTGGGGTCCACAGTACGCCGGCCCTCCGCAGAACTCGTACGGCTGGGGGCACGGCGGGACACCCCACACCTCCGAGCCCGGCCCGGCCCCTGGCCCCGCTCCTGGCCCCCCGGGAGGGCCTTGGAAGCCGAGCCAGGTCCGAGGGTCAACCCAGCCCGGCTCCGGCACCCCTGGGCCATCACCCCCACCGCCCGGCGGGGGCGAGAAGGCGAAGTCGGACGCCAGGTGTCCCGCCATGGGGAAGAAGGGAACCCCCAGCCGGAGGCCTGGAGAAATGAGGGCTCCAGGGCCGGCTGCACGCCTCTCTCCCTCCCCAATCCCACCCCCTAGCCTTGACCTCTGGCCCCGCCCCGCGGGTGGAGGAGGGGGCGGGAGAAACTGAGGCGAAAGGTTTTGCCTGGTGGTGCCGGCGTCTGTGGGCACAAGCGGGTGCCTCCCTGAGGTTCCTGAGGTCTCCCCTTTCGACCCCCTGGACTGCCTGGCCCTCAGCGGGGGCCTGGAGCTGAGAGCTGCCTGGGGCTCCTGTCACCTCCATGCTTTTCAGGAGCCAGGTGCCGACCTCCTGTCCAAAGACCCCTGGCACTGTCCCCTCCCTGGGGCCGACCCGGCCACTCTCTGAGCCCCCACCAGAGTGTGTGCCAAGTCCTCCCGGGGAGGACTCGTTAACAGATGCACTGACCAGCTGTCCCCTCTGCCTCCCCAGCCCACCCGGAAACCCAGGCCTTCCCAAGCGGATCCTGGCACTGCCACCCAGCTACCCGCAGCCGAGGCTGCCCGGCTCCATCTCTCTGGTACCACGGATCAAACTTAGGACTTCGCACTTGCCAGGCAGATGCCGTGCGGCTGAGCTATGTCCCCGGCCCTCCGGCCCCATCTCCAGGGCAGATGCCTGACCAGGCCTGCACACCGTGCGGAGCCCTCACCTACGCAGATTCGGGGACTGACACCCACTCACTGTCCACTCCTAGGTGGACTCGGCCTGAGGCTCCCGCCGCAGCCCAGGCAGGAGGAGCCCCACGGCCCCCTCAGCAAGACCCGCTGCTAGGACCTGGCCTTACCCAGTGAGCATCTAACACCCCGGCAGGCCGGGCCTCCCTCCCCCACCTCCCAGCCCAGGCCTCCCGCCTCAGTTCCTGGGTGGAGAAAACCGAGGAGGTGGGGGCGTTGGGAGAAAAAATATCTGACTTCAGGTTCAAAGAGGGCTGGGAGGGCCTGGGGGAGGGGGCCGGACAATGGCCTTGGCTGGACAATCCGGGTCCCCAGAGGGGGCAGCCTGCAGCCCTAAACAAGTGCTCAACCCTTGAATGGGCCTGGATGGCTCCCCTGGGGACAGCTTCCTGCCCCCAACCCCCCAGCCCCAGTCCCCTCACACAGAATCCCCTTCGAGGGCTCCCGTGACACCCCCATCCCCTCAGAGACCCGGCCTCAGACGGCACCGAGGGCCTCCCGCCAGCACCGGCCTCTGCCCCGCCCCAGGTCCTGGCTGGACTGTTTAGGGGGGCTGGCCAGCGGGAGGCCCCGAGGAGACGTGGGGGTGCAGGAAGCCTCCCTAAGCTGCCCCGCGGGCTGTTTTTCTGGGCCTGCCGGTGTTCTGAGGGCTGGCACTGCTGGCCCAGTGCTCGATTCTGTTTGCAAGAGAACAGCTCTCCAGCGCCCGTCCGCACCAGGAGATGTCTCTCGGTCTGCCTGGTCCCCACACTTGCCCTACACAGAGGCCCCGGGAAGCCGGGGAGCTGCTCCCAGCGGCTGGGGAGGCCAGGGTCCTGAGCCTGGACACCGGACGTCGGCCGAGCCAGGGCCAGCCCCGTCTGCGGCCGCTCCCTGGGGCTGTGGGTCCTCCGCTAACCGCCCAAGGGGCTGCGCAGCCTCGGGCCTCTAGCTGTGGCCGGCCCTGGTCCTGTGGGGGTGTCCATGCGTCTTCGGAGCCCATCCGTGTCTGTCCTAGGAGTCTGAGTCCCACTGCCGGCCTCGTCCTGGGCCCACCTCCCTCCCATGGAAACAGAGCAACGTGCCACACCCGCGGGTGCTGACGCTTCCTTCCCACAGGTCAGTTTGAACGTTCACAAACACGGGGGCTGGAGCCCGCTGCGCTCAGCCACCCACTGCCCCAGGCAGGTAGATTAAGGGGCCTCGCCGGCCAGCCCGCCCCCAACCCAGCCGCACAGAGCCATCAGCACCTTTGTCATGCAGTATCTGCCGTCTGCCAGAGACGGCTCCCGGCGGAGGGGGGGCCCTGGGCCTGCCACCACCCCCATACCCGCTCCTGGAAACCCTCCCCAACCGGGCAGGCCCCCTCCCCCAGGTTCCGAACCCCGCCCCGAGCTGCCTGCGGCCCCACCCCGGGTCTGGGCCGCAGCTTGCAGCTGCTCCAAGTAGTGGGACTCGGGCCTGAGCCAGAGGCTCATTCTGGAAAGGACCCGGAGGACAGGGCACCTGGTCCCGGCTGCCGTGCGATTGGACGGGGAGCCAGGTCACCCCTGTGTTTGCCCGGCGTTGACCGGGAACCTGAACGTCGAGTTAACTTTGTCTGGGGTCCTTGCAGGCCCCTCCTGGGGTGCCCGGGGCGACTGAGGCTAAGCTCCCCTCCCCCGCCTCCTGCCAGATCTGAAGCCTCGAAGCTGCCCGCCCGGCCGGCCTGGGCGCTCGGCCCTTTCGGGGCTGGAGGAGACCGGAAACGGGGCTGAGCCCGCCCACGTGGCTTCTCCACCTCGCGGTGCTCACAGACTGCCCAGCACCGAGATCCCGGAGCTCCGCCCGCCCGGCCGGAGAGGCTCCCCACGCCGGCGGGGCTGCCGCTGCCGCTGCCGCTGCACGAAGGTGGGCGGGCGCGCGGCTTCGGAGAGCCCGGTCACCCCTCCCTGGGCACAGCGCTGCGGTTTGACTGGGAGACCAGCTGAAAGGACTGGATGGGGCCGGTACCGAGGAGGCTGAGGCAGGAGGATCACAAGTGTTAGCCAACCTAGGCAACTTTGTGAAATTGTCTCAAAAAAAAAATTTTTTTTTTCCGGTACCGGCAATCGAACTCACGACCTCACGCTTGCCAGGCAGGCACAGTGCCGCTGAGCTAAATCCCCAGCCCCTCAAAAATTTAAAGAGCTGGAAAAGTAGCGAAGCTGATCCCAAATTAAAAAAAAAAAAAAAAAAGTCTGGCGATGTGGTGCACAGGCCCTGGGGTTGATTCCTAGTCACACACACACTCAGATGGGCCCGGCAACACACAGATAGGAAACCATTTATTTTGGGGGTTCTGTCAATCTCAAGGCAAAAGAGAGGGAAGGTGCGGAGGCGGAGAGGAGCATTCCGGCTGGCGGCCCAGGAGCCAGCTCCATCTCAGCGCCTGCTGGGACTGCGCTCCGAGGCCCTTGGTGGGCGTCTGCAGGGTCTCCGCCCTGGCTCTGACTCCCCCAGCCACGCCCCTCACCCCCTGCCTCAGTTTTCCTTCCTAGCCTGGAAGGCCTGGAGCTGGCCAGCGCTGTTTCCTTCCCAAATTCCTTCCCACGGGGACAGACTGCCACCCGCGTTCCGCGCTCCTCCTCGGTCCTGTGCACCCCGGACGCGCCACTGGGCTTGAGCCGAGGGGGAGCCCCGAGCTGCTGCCCAGCCTGGCGCAGGCCTTCGGACCCCACTCCGCCCCAGGGACCCAGCAGGGCTTCCTTCCCAGCCCGACCGACCGAGACCACCGCGTGAGGGGTCTGCACGCCTGGCCCGGAGTGGGGTTTCAGGTGCTTGAGTGCTACCAGCAACCTTCCGGGGGAGGCGGGGGAGGGGGTAACACTGCTCCCGGGTAGGGGAGACGCGGCAGGGAGAGGAGAGAGGGAGGAGAGACGATGGGTGGAAGAGGCAGGAGCAGGGCTGCGGGATGGCCCTTTCTGTTTTCTCTTTCGCAGCACTGGGGGGACTTGACCCTGGGCCTCGGCAGGACCCAGAGGATTCCAGGCCAGCTGAACTACACTGTGAGACCCTGTCTCAAAAATCAAACAAAACGGGGCTGGGGATTTAGCTCAGCGGCAAAGCGCCTGCCTAGCAAGCGCAAGGTCATGAGTTCGGTTCCCGGTACCGGAGAAGAAAAAAAAAAAAAAATCAAACAAAACAAGTACATTTTGAGACAGAGTCTCACTGAGTTGCCCAGACTGATGTTGAACTTGCCACCTTCCTGCCTCAGCCTGCCAGAGTGCTGGGCCCTAGATGATCCTTAAATTGTCTTCCAGCTCACCCAGGCATGGTGGTGCACAGTGTAACCCAAGCACTCAGGAGGCTGAGGCAGGAAGACCACCATGTTTGAGGCCTGCCTGAGCTACACAGTGGGGCCCTGTTACAAAGAGCTGTCTTCCAGCTTGGATGCGCAGAGCATCCTGCTGACCTGCCCTTCTTCCAGCACCCACGGTGACCATGGCAACAGCCGGGAGCCCAAGAGGAGCCGCATGGAGGTGCGTGGCTTGCAGGCTCTGTGCGGTGAGAACACGCCCCCCTCTCAGCGGAAGGCCAGCCTCGTGCCCTATGGGACGGAGTGCCCCGGCTCACTCTGGGGCTGAGGGTCGGGCTGTGGCTCAGGGGTGGACTGAGCCTCGTACACAGGAGGCCCTGGCTTCCTCCCCGGCACCACAAGGCAGGAGGGGGGCCTCGCTGGACAGCTGGCTCCATTCCCCTGGGGCCGGTGGTCAGGGATGCCCACCCCTGGGCTTGCTCAGCTGGACTGCTGGAGGCCGGAAGCCTGGGCCGGCCGTGCACCGTGCTGGGATGGGACAGTCACATGCAACCAGGCGCGGGGTGGGACAGGGGAGGGTGACAGCAAAGGCGACCTCGAGGCCTCCGAGACCAGAGAAGCCGCTGGGGGCTCCGCCCTGCACCCCTCTACAGGCTCCACCGGTGCCACCCCGTAAGGGCCCGGCCAGACCCAGAACGGAAGCGTGTGGCAGGACCAGCCGGCCGTCAGCGCTGGAACCGCGCCCTGGAAGAGGAGTTGGGCTCTGCTCCCCGTTCCACTCCTCAGTCCCTGTGGTAGCTTGCACCCTCGGCTGTGCCCCCGTCCAGCTTCGGGCATTTCCTGGGCAGCAGATGCAGCCCTGGCACGGGAACACTCGGTCCTTCCCTCCCCGCCCCGCAGTCTCTGGGTTCTGACTTGCTTTTCCTGGGGTGAAAGACTGACGTGCACCAAGGAGGGCGTGCTGGGAGTCACCCGTGTACTGCTGGCGACCCCGGTGCTCTGGTCTCCAGCAACTCGAAGCCCCTATAGTGGT